CGATTATGTTATCCGCCACAGGTACTCCCGATGAATACGGTCGAAAGGGTAACCGCGTTCCGTTCATCAGGCACGATCGTGCACCACTACGTTATCTGACAGCAACTCTGCTAATAGACCCGTACAGACTGGCTGGCACATTGTTTTCAAAAACGGGGCGCTGTGCAATTGTGTGATCATTAAGCACGTAAGCTCATAACCTTGGCGGAGCAATACAGAAAATAACAACATATTAACAATTGGGATAGGACCGCTCCTAAATGCATGCAAAAGATTAACATCTAAACACTGAAATCAAACTTCAGTGTATAGACCTTAACAAGTAATCTGTAATGCATATTCTCCGTTTTGCGATTGCACTTAATGGCATGTGTCAAGAAAAACTGTTTAAAATAAACTGTTTTCAACGGGTCAACGCACTCTAACAGGGACAGTGCATCAAGGTTCCTTTACGCGCGCTACATGCACTTCTACGTTGTCACATGGTTATGGGAAGTATCGTCCCCTGTAGAAGGCATGTTGATAGGGTCGAACGATTGCGCTCCTGGTTATTCAAAAGTTTCATTTAATTTTCCCTTTGCCTGCCTTGCATAAAGTTCAGCTGATGTTAACGGAAACCATCCTCCAACTCAAGATTTCTGTCGTTTTTTTTGAGTATGATCTCAAAATCTGGTATGAATTTGTTTCCATAACAAAGTTTTTTTGTCCACTTCGGCTGTCTCTGCATCTGTCTACAGCGTAGTACACATCAAGTCTTCAAGGAGGCCGACTAACACCGGAGCATGGCTAACTTAATTACTCTGTTACGGACAAGCCATACATGCCTACTTGTACCTATTATTTTCAGTGTGGTCGAGCTGGCTGCAGTAGCCATGACGCCAATCGCTGTGTATTGTGATTAATCCTGGAAAGTGGGAATACAGTATAGAAAACGTCCGCACGGAGATTATTTGGGCGATCGCGGTAGGTTTAATCTTAGACGATTGGCAGCAACTTTGACCATGTAATACCGACCAAAGTTGTAACCCTTTTACTCGTCACCTATGTGCTACGAGGATTCCTAACCAAGCCTGGAAGCATAACCTCTTTCTACTCCGCCATTCCCTGCTCCTAGCCTTTGAACATGATAACGTGCTTATTTAAAGTGGTGCTTTGGCACCATCCGCGTGACGATTTGCCACTTTTATAACCGGAAAGCTCACTTCAAAGTTTCGTTCGCCTAGTAACTGCCACCGTAGAGTCGGGGTTTACTCGTTGCCTGCTACCATAGACGTATGGTCGATTAGGTCGTGCCACTAAGCGGCACAGTGACCTCTAATTCTTATTTGAATGTACCTGACGTGGCGAAGAAATTTTCCCTTGCGAATACGACTCTAAGTGCGCCAGCTTGCACTTGTTGTCTTTTTTCTTTGCCAAACGGTCCACTTTAATCACATTATCTGTGTGCATTTATGGTGGTCCCGATAACTAAATTATTTCAAGGATATCTGTAACCAAGCATTACCTAAGGGTTATGTGGAAAGATGACAATTTATTATCGTAGTTATCTTAATGGATACATTTTAGAATGCTGAGGGAACGCAACAGTAACGGATAAAGATCTTTAATTCGGCCCTTGTAGTAATATTCTGCCTGTCTCTGTAATGCTTACCAGTATTTAAGAAAATGATTAGTCGGCTTGATTTCCTACCAAGTGTTATTGCCATATCTGCATGTTGTTTGCGTGCTTATTCGCCCGGTTTTTCTCTCTTTGGTTATCAATCACTGTGGTTATTGTTGATGTATCTTGTCTTGATAATTGTGTGTAATGAGCGTTTCTGTGCCGTGCGATGCGTGGAAGTGGGTTCATCGACTAATCATTTTATTCTACTTTTTGAATATTCGCGGTCCACGATTTGCGGAAAATCATTTCTCCTACCTTGCATAAAGTGGCCGTAAATACGCATGAGTCGCCCCACCAACTATCTACCTTGCGTTCAATAAGCTGTTCATATTACATGTATTCGCTAAATTGCCCGCGGAAATTGGGCTTTTGCCCCTTGATTTAATTTTCCTTCACATGCAGCTCTTCCAAGAGTAAACAATACTATCTCACACGCACCTTCGTATTAATTCAACCATCACGTGTCTCACGAGAACTGTCACATGTTTAACTTTGACCTTTAACAGTCTGGTTTGCAATGCCTCAAGGCGGAGCTGGTGAATTATGCTCGTCCTTCTTGTTGCTATCCCTCGTACAAGCAAACCATCTTCCGTGGTTGACAGTAGCCTTTATAGCACAGAATTCAGTTTTCTGAGCCGTTTATATGCTAAATGCCTGACGGTGCGCCAGGAGTTATTGTCCAACTGTGTCTCTAATTTCATACTATTTTTTATAATTTATGCGCTGTCCGTTTGCAATGCATGTCTGACATCCAGAGACGAAGAGCTTGATGATTGTGAGGGGCTGTAGTCTCTGCCTTACTAAGCTGCCATTGTTGTGTGAAATTTCCGACGTTAATTTGCGTGCAATTCTGATTGACCCGTGTTTTGTGTTTTATTAACTATCGACTCCTTCTGCAGTCTGGATGGCGAAAGGGCTGCTATCGGACGCTAGCTGTAGTTGGCGCTACCGCCGTCGGAGCTGCCGTCTTGGCAACTCCAGTTCTGGCTACCGAGCTGGTTGCACACCCAACCAAATTACCTTGGCCACAAGACGGACTTCTTGCTTCGCACGACCATGCATCCCTGCGTCGTGGTTACCAGGTTTATAAGCAAGTTTGCGCCGCCTGCCACAGCATGAAGTTTATGTCCTATCGTCAGCTGGTTGGCCATGTTCTCACAGAGGATGAAGCCAAGGCCGACAGCGCTGAGGTTGGTTTGCTTGTTGTATCCAGTTTAATTTTGATAAGTTTTTCACTTGTTTGTTAGAAATTGACTACTGGTTATCTAACGTTTTAGTTATCCGGCTGAGTAAAGGTTAGACTGTCGCGAACGGCCACATTTACCCTGCGTCTCACGAGATGGATGCAGTAGCGGTGACTGGCGGCTAATGCCCCATACCGAGAAATGCGGTGAACATAAGCTGCATGGCTTAATAGCTACCAAAATTAGACTGCCCTAACAATGCCCAGTTTAATCAACTAACCACTAGTGGCATTAAAATGTACTAAATATCATCTAGGGTATTATAGCTAAGAAGGCGAGTCAGTCACCATGTTACAGAAGAGCTGCATTTTCGTCTGTGACATGAAGCCGGTGCTGTTACGTGAACCCAGATCTACCAGATCATTGAAACTTTACAGTACATCATGAATTTCACACATTGCTTAGAGTATATTCTGTGGTTCCTTTTCCTCTGCCGGCGGTGAATTCAGACCAGACCGAACTTGCTCCAGCACCGAAGATTGTGTCCACTCGGTGGTAGGTGTTTGTTGAGAAGAGGGGGGGTTCACCAACTGCAACCTGTTTTATTTAATGCCAAATAAGTAGGATAGGTACCCGCCTAAAATCTGTTTAAGCCTGGGAGACAGTGTATCTTAGGAAACTTAGTTGCT